TCTCTCTCTATGATCTTTCTTAATCTTTTTGAATCATGCTTTACGTTTTTGAAATTTGATCGATTTGTTTCGTTGAATCTAATTTTTTTTTTTACCTCGTTGGTGATTCAAGAAATTTTTTTTAAGATCAAGCCCAAATCACGAAAATTACTGTTCACTGAACATAATTGAACCCAAAATATTTGATCTGATTACTATTTGTTCAAGTCCAATCTGATTATAGCCCAATCGATGATATCACACTATTCATTTAACCAATTTTAAAAGCCCAAAATCTTTTCCAGTTCATATGTTCATCTGATTCGTATCAAATACGCTTCGTATGATTCTCGTTCACTCATTCTTAATCTCAAATGTCTTGGACGATGATGAAGGTTGCTACAGATTATGTCTTTGATTAAAGTCTATTGATTTTGATTTACAATTTTCTCTTGAATCTCTTTTGTTGAAGTCGATTTGATTGTAATCTGATAAGAATTGCAAATTGATCATATTCTTGATTATAATCAATTGAAATTGTATATCGATCCATCTGATTCTCAGTTTCTTAGATAAATGTGTGATTTGAGTGAATTTTAACTCTAAATTGGTATCAAATGGGTTTGACTTGGAGTCGATGTTCGTCCTATTTTGACTCTGGAATCAATGTTTGATTGTTTGTTATCAATGATCACTGAAAGCAAGGGACAAACATATTTTGGCTGTTGATTTGTTAATGTCGTAATTGGTTCAGTTAGCAATTTGAAGATGATGTTGGAATAGTGTGATTGGGTTCGCTTTTGGTTATTTGATGTTTCAGAAAGAGGCAGATTTCAAACGGTTGTATGTTGATGAAATAGCAAAGAGATTTATCTCACAGTTTGGAGTCGAGTTTCTGTTTTTGATCAGATGATTGATGACGAACAAGAAGATTGGGTATTGATGAATTGGGTTCGAACTAGTGTTGAAATTATGTTAGTTGATCGGTGGTTCCTTATGACTGGTTCGATTTCAAATGTTTGACGAGTTGGAAATCAGTATGTTTAATAACGATTGTTGATTTGGAGTCAAAGATCGATTTTTGGATCTAAGGAGAATGAATATTGAAGTCAACTGTGAGTTTTGGGGATTAAAAATAACGAATGTTTGAAATCGAAATATTGGTGTCGATGAACTGGTAACGAATATTTGATATCAATGGTTGTGGGATGATGATTTCGAATGCTTTGGATTTTGATATAAGGCTTGAATCAAAAGCAAATGATAACGAAGGTTTTGGAACTGGGTTTGCTTTGAAAGACGAAGATTTTGATGCTATTTTCGAAAGTTTTGATAACGAATTGAGAAGAAAATTTTCGTTATTGAGGCAAGAAGATGAAAAAGTTTCGTTAAAATAGGTGCAGTGAAAATTTTTCGTTAAAACGATACAGAGAAAAATTTTCATTAATATGGTGATGTTTCGCTATCTGAGTATTCGTTAGATTTGGGGAAGAAGAAACCAAAAGTTTTGAAAATGGTCCCTAAAGTTTCGACAGTTTGACACATTTTACAAATTTCGACATTTGGGCAATTTTTCGTTAGTTTTGAAGAAGAATGAAGAAGTTTCGAAAACTGTCCCTAAAATTTCGATAGTTTGGCACAACATAACCAACTTCGACAATTGGGATATTTTTCGACATTTTGGGACAAAACAGAACTTTTCGAAAGCAGTCCCTGGAGTTTCGAAATTTTGGCAGTTTTCGCCCAATTTCGAAAATGGACTGATTTTGCTGAGAAATTGAAGAATATGCATTTCAGGCCCCTGCAGTTTATGCGAATTGACGCTTTCTACCCAGCTTTGGAAAAGAGGGAGAGTTTCGCATTTTTGGCTGTTTTGGGTGCATTGGGTCACTGCAGAATTTTGAAATTGACAATTTCTACCCATTTTTGAGAAATTTTGTCAAAGGCAGTCCGTGAACGAAGCTAAAAATTGAAATTTTTTTGATTTTCCGAATTGAAGCACAAAGTTTATGCCACATGTTAAGGGGGAGATTTGACACGAAAAATTCCGAATAGAGCATGTTCTCTTTCCTTGATGGTTTTATAATCAAATTTCGATTATAAAAAGGGGGAGAAATTTATATGGAAATTTGAAGTTGAATTTTTCATATTACGCGAACTTGAAGACCGAAGTGACCTTGAATTTTTAAAGTTTATGAAATGATGCGATTGGAGATTCGGAAGTGATTTTGGTTCGAGATGGGTTTGGCTTTATTGAAGATTTTTGGGGTGTGTTTTTATGCTCAACTTTTGGGTGATTAATTGGAGTTTGGGATGCTCTTAATCATTCGTTGATGCTCGGTTCGTATGGTCTCACATCCTAGAGCCCAAATTGAAGAATCATGGAAGAATTGAAGATTTGAAGTTCATTTCGACATGTGTCACCCTTGAGGCTCGGATCGTGTAGTTGCTCGATTTTGGAAGATTTGAAGTGGGTCATCCATTCCTAACTTTGAGGGGGAGAATGTTGGGGTACAAAGTTATCCATGTATGACTTTGTAAATGGGTTGACTTTTGTAGACCCACTTGCATGTGGTGCATTAGCCTTATGACATGAGATAGAGACATGTAAACACCTCTATATAAGGTGGGTTCATTCCACATGTAGAAGTGTGCTTGAGAGGTGTAAAAGTTGAGTGTGTAAGTGTGTGTTATTTATGTAGATTTAGATCTAGATCCTTTTTGTAACACCATACATATTCAATACATCTCTTAAACACCCAAATCACCATGTTCATTGTATATTCTTTAATTCTGCATGCCAAACCATGATCTTAATTCACATCACAAGGGCATTTGTATCCAAATGAGAAATGAAACTAATGGACATGTGATTCCAGGTGGAAAAATACAACTCATGTAAAGTATTTACAAAAATAAACTACAATGTTATATTAAACGATTTTCATATAAGTACATTCTAAAAGATCAAAAAGTACAATTTTCATATAACTACATCTCGTCTATCAAGATATGAACGTGCAATATAAGAAAACCTTGAAGTTGCCATTAGAGGTGCCTCTTCATCTACATCTACTCCTCGTGAATTCCTAATCACCTTTGTAGAAACCAAGAAAGAATCTTGAAATTCTTGTTTTTTTATCTTTAATCTTGAATTGATCAATGTGATCAATTAGAAAACGAAATGACGAGAGTGCAGGAGACCCTTTTCAGTGTGTGAACAACTACAATATGCTTCACCGTGTGCATAGTAACAACTTAGAACTTCAAAATTTCGAACCTGTATAAAAGGTTGAATCATTAGTAAAAGATGGAAGTCTTTATTTCCAACCTGTATGATACCATATCTAATAGAATTATGGAACTTTAGAAAATCTTCTAGTGTGTGTTCTTCTGGCCTTGACTACATTAACAAACAATCCTTGTGTAAAAAAATTGTTTTAGGATTAAAAAATGGGAAATTTCTAGAAAGTTACTATATTCTGGGCTTATTAACTATAAAGCCATTTTTAACAGAAAAAGACAAAATAAAGCCTAGAATATACAAATTTTTCTAAAGATTTCCCCCAAAAGCAAAAGAGAGCAAGATAACAAGAAAAGAAGATTGAATACTTACAGTAGCTAGGAGACTAATATTTACAAGTGCTTCCTCGATCTCAAGGGATGATGTTATGTGTTAGAGTGTTTTATGCAACATCTTACGTTTCCCATTGAATGCAGAATTAACCTAAAAATACCACATTTATCAATTTATGACATATAAGAATATATTTGATCATACTGTATAACAAAATTGATCGTGGGTCTTGATAAACTTTTTTTTCATGAACCTACAAGATCTAATAATAATTATGGTTCTATACCACATTTTTCAGGTCAATTCTTGATTTCAGATAAAGAAAATGGGACCATTATCATATCATAAATGAAAAAAAATTAACAAGTAGAAACCGTTGAAAAGAAGGTATTGGTTAATGAAACTTGGGGATAATCTACTTCTTGCTTCAGTTTAAACACAATATATAAAAGCAATATGTAAAATGGGAGATGAATACATAGCCCAATAGCACCAGTAGAAAAACACTTGATGGTTGCCCCTAAGGGTAATTTTGTCACAAGAATATAAGATCCAACATGTATTCTCAACAACCAAACACTCAAGTTTTTGAATATTATGGGGGAAATAAAGTTCTTCAAGAACCAAGTTATACAAATGCAATACAAACGTTAAGAAACTCAACTTACATGAGGAACCCAATATTTGTGGAAGTTTTTTCATCGAGTTATTTCATCGAACACTTGGTGTTCATAAAAAATTCAAACAACAGTGACAATGTCTATGAAATTACTTGAAACTAACTAGAAGTTCAATTAACCGAAATGAAATAGTAATGAAGAGCCTATAACAACAAGAATCACTAACATCAATTTCTACAATTTAAACAAATTAAACCAGTTCATCATACTTTAATCCTCGATTTGAACAAAATCAAACCAATTCATCAGTTTAATAATCATACCTTGTTATTGAGTTGCACAAATTTATTTAGGAGTAACTAGTTCCGCCTCTGCTAACATTTCACTTAATTTCGCAATTTTCAAAGATTTCGCACAGCCACATACCGACAACCATAAATCATATAACAACTTCATCAGGTGATAGCGATGAAGGATTTTGAATGAAGATTAGAAGGGTCGATGAAAAAGGAAGAGACATCACGTCTGATCTTATGTGTTTTTTTAGTTATCAATGGTATTTTAAGGATATGAAATTAAATTAGACGAGATAGAAGAATGGAGACACATGTCAAAATTTTAATGGATAAGAATATTTATTGACAAATAAAGCAATTTAATTTCTCAACAAAATAATAACATTACAAATCAATGAAACAAAGTCCAGAATTATAAAATGATTCATTTTTACAAAAAAATAAAATAAAAAATAAGTTATCAGGTGAAGATCACCCTCCGTAGTCAACCGCCAATCCACCGAGTGACCCCAAAAGTTCCGTAGTCTCTCTCTCTCTCTCTCTTCTCTCTCTCTCTCTCTCTGAATACAATGAGGGGGCACGATTGGATAAATTCAATGTTACCAGATGAGTTGATCCTGGAGATCTTCCGCAACCTCGATTCGAAGTCGAGCCGGGATGCGTGCTCTCTCGTCTGCCGGCGTTGGTTGACCCTCGAGCGCTTCAGCCGCGACACGATCCGAATCGGTGCCTCTGGTAGCCCGGATGCACTCGTTGACCTTCTCGCTCGTCGTTTTCCTAATGTCACCAACGTTTACATCGACGAACGCCTCTCTGTCTCTCTCCCCGTCGATTTCGTGAGTTCTCTTTCCCTAAATTGATCTGCTTTTTAGGTTATTATCTATATGTTAGGTCAAATTATTGATTTTGGTGTATTGAGGTTCCTGCATAAGCGTGTAGTGGGATTGGGTTTGTCTATATGAAAAAAAAAGTAATCTCCATCGGCTTATGTTATAGTTTTCATACACCAAAATGGTGTGATATAAGTTGAATTCCTACACACCGAAGAGTGGATGTTGAAATAATTTAAACCGGTTAGGAGAATTATTGAAGATCTTATGATTTTTTTTTTCTCTTCGTTTTGGAACAAGCAGATTAGGAGTAATAATCTTTTAAAACGATACATAACAATTAATTACATATTGCATCTTAGTCTTACTTAATCAGGTCTAACAGCCCCAGATCCGTATTATTGAACGAACCATGTCTTTCTTGCTTTAAATTACATTGTCTTGGAGGTGATTGAGATCGAAATAAACTCAATCTGCATTAAGAAATGATTCTCTCTTACTCGGTTACTTACTTACTTGTGACTTTATATGGCAGATAAACAAGAAGTTACCTACGGTTGTGTTCACCAAAAGTGTTTAAGTGAACAAGAAAGATGTCTATTACTTAGTTTTTTTTCTCCTTCCATCCGAGATTTGTTGATGGCTTATTAAACTATGTACTGAAATCGACAGTTCATTGACAATAATCTCAAAAAGACAAAAACCATAGAATTGTAGTTGGGTGATAATGGATGATATCAGGGCAAAAAATAGCTTGTATAAGCAACCAACCAAACCATCCATGTTTTTCCATTTTAGGGAACAAATTACTTAATTTTGCCATTCATAACTAACAATTGAATGTCCCCTATTACTTAATGAATCGACGAGGACAAATTTATCTGATATATACTAGTTCCTTTGCATCAAGAGAGTCTAGCATACATTTCTGTTCCAAAAAGCACCTATTTGGAATATTTAGATACATGTTATCTTTGTAAGTTACCCTTCATTTTTTATGATGAGTTTCCAAACTCATAGAGAATTGAGTCATTAATAGTAATTTATCACTAATGAAATCAGGGAAGAAGGCGCAATCCTAGTCACTCGGCTCTTTCATGGCTCAGGCTTCATTTTGTATCTGAGAGAAGTGAGCCTGGAGCTAGTGAATCAGATTCATATTGTATATCAGATGCTGGCTTGACAGCTGTTGCAGATGGATTTATGAAACTTGAGAAACTGAGCCTCATATGGTGCTCCAATGCCACAAGTGCAGGCCTCAGATCTGTAGCTGAGAAGTGTAGATTTTTAAAATCTTTAGATTTACAGGTATATATATCTCTTTTCACTGTGAAGTATGAGAATCACTTTGGTTGAGTTTTTTACTGTCCTCACCTATATTAAAGTCTGAATTTGAGGCCTTAATGAGTATCATGTTAAAAAACATTTGACTTTATAAACTCTATACAGCATCTGTCCCTAAATGTACTTTCTTGGAATAAATTGTGTGTTTATCACAAGAAATAACAACATACTTTCATTCTTTGTTTATTAAATCTCCCACTTTGGATTCTTCCTATTTAAAAAATTGTACTTTGAGAAATCATGGCAATGTTATACAAATACATAGCATTTTTCACTGCTATATCTGGGTATATTTTCCAAAGTCTGATGTCCTAACAAGAAAAAACACTATACATACAATATGCTATAAGTGGGTAGATTTTTCAAAGCACAATGCTTGAATACTTTTTTTTAAGTAGAATGTACTTACATTTCTTGGAAAAGATATTGGTTTAAATTTAAGAAATAGAAATGTACTTACATTTCTTTGTTTATCAGTTTCCTACTTCCATTTCCTCCTGTTACAACATTGTAGTTTGAAAAATATGCCTGATTATAGCAATGTCATCGAAAGACAAAGCATTTTTTTGCTGCTATAATTTGGTATATAATTCAAAATTCAATGTCCTGATAGGAAAAGATTTTTAAGTTATAATCTTGTAATCGTGTAGTTTCTTTAAAGTCAATGCCTTCACATAAAAAATTTAATGTACAATGTTGTAATAGTGAGAGAAATGAAAGTATGATGCTCCATAATAAACAAATACATTGCCATTTCTTGCAATTAGCCCATGAAATCTAATGTGACTTTTAGTTTTTTTTTTTTTTTTTTTTCTTTTGAAAGGGTTGCTATGTTGGAGATCAAGGTCTAGTGGCTATTGGCAAGTGTTGCAGACAACTAGAAATTCTAAATTTAAGATTTTGTGAAGGTTTAACCGACACTGGTCTGGTTGAGTTAGCCTTAGGATGTGGGAATACTCTAAAATGGCTGGGTGTTGCTGCATGTGCTAAAATAACAGACATTTCATTAGAAGCTGTTGGATCTCATTGCAGTTCTCTTGAGACATTATCTTTAGACTCTGAGTTTGTTCACAACAAAGGGGTCCTTGCTGTTGCAAAAGGGTGTTCTCTTTTGAAGAATCTGAGTCTTCAATGCATTAATGTCACAGATGAGGCTTTGACTGCTGTTGGTGTCTTTTGTTTGTCACTGGAGTCTTTGGCTCTCTACAGTTTCCAGAGATTTACCGATAAGTTAGTTTCTCTATTTATAGATTTATATCATATCTTGTTTCTATACTTCTTCATCCATATTTGTTTTTGAAACTTGAAATGTCCTATCTTAAAGAATTTGAACTAGTTTTTATTCTGTTTTGATAATTTGTAGTTATACACTTATTGTTCCACTTAAAGTTGAATATTTTAGGTGTTCTAATATAATCATGTATATTTATTGTCTTATTAGGAGTCTTTGTGCCATTGGAAAGGGATGTAAAAAGTTAAAGAGTTTGATGCTTAGTGACTGCTATTTCCTGAGTGACAAGGGGTTAGAAGCAGTTGCAGCTGGTTGCCTTGAGCTTGCACATCTTGAAGTCAATGGTTGCCACAATATTGGCACTTATGGGCTTGAAAGCATCGGAAGATCTTGCATGTAAGTTTTGTGAACAATGACAATAATATCCCCATCAATAAGAGGGCACAATATTAGTTTTCTCTCTTCTCCTCTGTTATATTTGAGAGTCATTACTTGTGTCACCCTGTTTTCCTCTTCCTTATTGATCATGGATCTATCATGTGCACATCAAATGATTCTTTTAGCTATTTTTTTTAACGTCTATGCAAAAGACATAAATGCCCTCTTCATCCTTATCATCAAAAGTAGCCCTAGAAAACTTGCCCCATCCCAAGTAAGAAACACAACCGAAACCCTAGAATTTTTAATAAGAAAAAAAATAAAAAATGGAAGTGTAACTAATGCTTTAATAGAAAGAAATGAAAGTACAATGTTATTTCTTGCATTTTAATCTATACGAATACATTTGCAGGCGTCTTACAGAGTTAGCTTTGCTATATTGTCAAAAAGTAGGAGATGAAGCCTTATCTGAGGTTGGAAAAGGATGCAAGTATTTGGAAGCTCTTCACTTGGTGGATTGCTCAATCATTGGGGATGAGGCCATATACAGTATAGCTATGGGATGTAGGAATTTGAAAAGGCTTCATATACGCAGATGTTACGAGGTATTTGCATTTTTTTTTTTAATTTCATTATGTTTTTGCTTATTAAGCCATTCTGACTTTTTGAGAAATCTAGTTACTACAATATCGTACTATCATTAACATATGTGTGTGACTTTTATCATAGGTTGGGAGCAAAGGAATTATAGCTGTTGGTGAAAACTGTAAATACCTTACAGATCTCAGCATTCGGTTTTGCGATAGGTAAATTTTTTACGGTTTCATTTGTTTCTGTTACAACAACCTGCTTTCATTTTTTTTTTATTTCATATTAGGCATCTCCAACCCCACTCCATAAATAGACTCAACTCTATCTGTTTTAAACTTTATAAATAGAGTTATGAATAATATTACTCCAAATATAGAGTAACACTATTTTTTACTCTATAAATAGGGTTTAAGTTTAACTCGTCATATTTGACCTTGAAGTTTGATTTTTGGATACATCTGGTTTATGTTTAACTTCAATTTCGTGTTTATATATTTTTGAGTTTATTTAATTAATAATTATATGGTTATATTTTAATTGTTTCAAATGTATTTAAAGTTTTAATACTATTTAATAATTTATAACACGATTAACATTTTTAATAAATCTTCAAAGGACATACGCGCCTAATTAAACGAGTGTGCATATTTATTTTAATATGTTATGAATGAAATTATTTTATTTAATAAAAAGCTTTTTGGTTATATTCATTAATAATATAATTTTTAGAGTTATTGTAACAAAAAGTTTTTAGACAGACTTGTAAATGGAAGAGGGGTATATATGAAAATCTAAAAAAGTTGGAGAAAAGGAGTAAAAGTGTATTTTTTTTTTCACTCTACCTAATTATAACAGTGAAAATATAATCAACAAATAAATGAAAGTACATTGCTATTTCTTGCATTTAACATATGTAAAATGAATACACTGGCAGGGTAGGAGATGAAGCTCTGGTTGCTATTGGGAAAGGCTGCCCCTCTTTACGTCACTTAAATGTCAGTGGGTGCCACCAAATTGGAGACAATGGAATAATAGCCATTGCCAGAGGTTGCCCTCAACTAAGTTATTTGGATGTCAGCGTGCTTCAGGTCACATCAAAATGACTATTTTGCCCTCCTCATTTTTCCGTATATATATTATTATTGATTACCATCATAACCTAACCAATTATATCTGAACAGAATTTGCGTGACATGGCTTTAGCGGAGGTGGGTGAAGGGTGCCCTTTACTAAAAGACATAGTCCTCTCACATTGTCGTCAAATTACGGATGTGGGTCTCTCCCATCTTGTCAAAAGGTGCAAACTCCTCGAATCCTGCCACATGGTATACTGCCCGGGTATCACTGCAGCCGGGGTCGCAACCGTAATTTCCACCTGCACCAATATGAAGAAGGTTCTAATCGAGAAGGCAAAGGTCAGCGAGCGCACTCAAAGGCGGGCAGGCTCCGTCATCTCCTACCTTTGTGTTGATCTCTAGTTCGGGCAGGTACTCATGTTTGACCGCTTTTACATGTATACCTTCTTTGTTCTTTTTTTTTTTCAGACTGTTTATTTACATACATGGAGCATATGTTAAGTAGTTGGAAGAGTGTTGCCATTTTATTTCGTATTTTGTGTAGCGTGTTGTAATAAGGTGATCCCAGTGTATTTGTTTTTACATATGATTTATTATTCGTGTTGTCTGATATTAGTATGGCATTGTTTATTATATTATATTGGATAAGAAGATAGGATAGGACTCGGCTTGATAGTACTTGTTGGACAAGTTTTCTGGGCTTATTTTTTATGATGAGGAAAAGGCATTCGTATTATTTGTTGAAATTGATTGTCCAAGACTTCGTTCTTTGATTTCTAAGTACTCGGTGACCCAACTAATAAAAAATGGAGCAATGTATATAAAAGACGCTATAATTTGACCTTTTTTTTGTCGATAAAACCCATTCATTTTATTGACAAAAAAAGTTTTTGCAAAAATAGATCAAAATATTAGGGACTTTAAACTTCTCTCTAAAATTCAATTTTTTCTAATAATAATAATTAGGAACTCAATAGTCTGATAATTGGTTTCAACGCCCCCTACAAAACACCTTAAGTTTGTTCATCTATGGTTGAGGTTTAAAAGATCGGACTAATATCATAAAAATCCTAAGTTTTTAACGCGTAATTAAAAAAACATTAACATTTTTTTTATTACTGCTATGACAATAACTTTCTCGTAAAATTATCACTCTAGCCCACTTAACGAATTTCATGGTTATCTATATTATCTTTTTTGCAAAATCTGTCATAAATTTGGGTTTAAAGTTCAAATCAGTCATAACTTTTTATATATATATATATATATATATATATATATATATATATATATATATATATATATATATATATATTCGTTTTAATTTTATTTTTCAGCAATTTGATTTTTTTTATTATCTTTTTTTACCTTTTGTTTTCTATTTTTTTTTTCAATTTTAGTTATTTATGATTTTTCTAATGTTTTTATTTATTTTAAGAGTAAAATACACGAATGGTCCCTATGGTTTGAGGTAATTTGCACATTTGGTCCCTAACTTATTTTTTAACTCGGAAGGTCCCCACAGTTTGTTTTTGTTACGCGCTTGGTCCCTGTATTACCTAAAAAGACTTATTTTTTCAACTTATAATCGTTACTTGACTTAGTCCTCAGGGTCTTTTGCATGGTCGTGACAACTATTCGTTGAGAATATGACTTTGACTGGTTATTTCTGCACATTTGAGAAAGACAATAGAACATATAGCTATTATAAATATTAAAAAATATCAGTCAGGATCCTGGAGTATATTTGGGATCCTGAGGTTCGAGGATCCTGAGCTTTTGAGGATCCTTAGCCTTGAGGATCTTATAGCAGTTCCGAGATCCTAGCCCTAACAGTAGCCATTTCAAGGTTGATCCTGTGAGGGTGGAACCAAAATCTTTAAACATGCAAGCTTCCTTCAAGTGTGTGGGAATGGGGATGATCTCCATTTTTTTCCTGTATTGTGCCATATGTTCTTCAAGATTTGTGGTCCCGTCATAAGGCTTCATGCTGGGAGTTTGGAAGCGCTTTGGGACCTCGGTGTCAACGATTGCAGGAGCGAATCTCGAGATCATATGGCTTGTTGAGGAGACTTCCGGTATAGGTTGGACTATTCCAGGTACACTTGAGATCATCTGTCATAGCTGTTGAAGTTCTTTGGCCATGAGCAGACTCATTCCTGCATCAACATCCATAGAGTTAGTAGTGAAGATATTATTATTGACGAAGTTACCAAGATCCTTGTTATTGGGATTGACAAAGGTTTTGGTGGGATCTTGGGTTGTATGGGCTCGCTCATTTGGAGTTACTATGAAAATACATAATGTGATCAAATAATGTGTCGCAAACAGAACATAACGATAAACTAATTATTTTTATCATTCAAAACAGTCAATTAAATGTATAATCAAACAAACAACATGATTTCAGTCAAACTTTAGACCTAATAATTAGGCCTCTAACTTAATCACACCTACGTTAATAATAACTATCAAAAGAACTTCTTATATATAATTGAAATTCTATTTTTTTAATCTTATTAATTTATTAACCCTACTATGTAAATGACTTGCGAGGGTAATTATCTTTTCATCTTGTTTATGTTTATGTAACTTCATTTTTTTTATACACATTTAACCATTTAACAAGTTAAATGGTTAAACGTGTACAATTTTTTTTTGTCTAAATGTGAACATTTTTTTTACAATTTTCTTAAGATTTTTTATAATTTCTTACAACACTTTTATGATATTTTTTTTCCTATACGTTTTTTGAATATAATGTTTTAAACTTTGCTTATAATTTTTTTAACATTTTTTTTATACTTTCATATAATTTTAATACAAGTGCTTTCAAACAAAATATTTTATAAATGTTTTAAAATTTTCTTACAAGTTTTTAACTTTTTTTTTTTTTTTTACATTTTCATATAATTTTTTTATAAGTTTCATACATTTATTTCTAAACTTTCTTTTACAACATTTTTAAAATGTTTCACAGATTTTGTATGACAATTTAATACTTTTTATAACATTTTAAAATACTTTCGTTAAATACTAGTTTAAAACGTTGTATTAAAAAAATTAAAAGTTTATAAACTTCTAATTAAAAAGTTTTAAAAAGTTGGAATAATTTTAAATTTACATTATATAGATTTTTTTTGTTTTTTATTTGCTAAGTTATATTTCTTATTATTTTTTTAAAAGACCCTCCACACTTATTGTTACATATTTAATTTATTTAATATTATTGTTAGATACTATTTACTTAAAAAATATTGTATATGCTTAAAAACAAACGAAAAAAAAAATTATAAGAGGCTATATAAAATATTTCACAAAACCAAAACATATTTATTAACTAAAAAGTAAAGTTTAAAATTGATCAATATTTAGAAAATTATGAATATTTTAAAAATAACGTTTGAAAAAAATAATACAAACAAATATGAAAAATAAAATCACTATTAAAAATGAGGAAAATGATTTATCAACGTAATTAACTTTTCGTTTTTTTTTTCACATTTAGATAATTTTTTTTTGTATACATTTAACTATTTAACGTGTTAATTTATTCACATATTATCATTGTCACCTGCTATAGCCGGTGACAATGACAATATGTGAACACATATAACAAGTTAAATGGACGACAAAAAATACCAATTATTTAGAAAAAAAAAATTATTAATCAAGCACACCACTCCAGTAATTTATAATTGGATAAGTCACACCCGAGGATGGTATCTTTCAATTGGGCCAACGGTCCTACCGTCAACGCAAAGAACACACCCAAAAAAAACAAAAAGGACCGTACTTCCCCTATTCTTCATAGAGAGATACAGAGAGAGATTATGCTGAGGCACTGAGCTGAATTCAATCTGGTTCGATTTCTACACATCTACTGTTTATCGGTCGATTTCCAAGTTTCTTCCGATCAAATCGACTAAGGAGATGTGTGGAGTTTGCTTCTATTTCCTTCGTCTCTTGAATTCTTCTCCCGCCATAAATAGGAGTCACCATCATTGATGCTCGAGTTTTCCTAGCAGTCGAACGATTATGCTATTGCACGAGATGAGGCTACTGTTTTTCACATCGCTAAAACCCTAATCGAAGTAGTCAGCACGAGTATGTCGAGGTAAGAAAACCCTAATTTTTGATGATTTTGCAAAATTGCTGTATTAGGAATACGATTGGCTGCTTCTAGATTTCTATAATTCTATGCGTTTCCCACCTGTCTTTCACTATCTGTATCTCGGCTTTGTTTTTTTTGTTAGACTTGGATTTTTACGAAGGAAATAGATTTCGAATGCAAAATTGATATGTTTGTGATTGTAACTTTACGCCAACTTCATTTCATCTGTAGTACTTGTTGCATGTTAACCGATTTGCCTAAATTTTTTGAAGTCCATATGGATGCTAAAGTTGAAAAGTGAACGCCATTGCACATCGAGTCAAAACTTACACTTTTTTGGAACGGGTTGAACACATGTCAGTTATGATTAGAAAGTAGAAACATCTGTCACTATGATTTGTGCATGGACCTACTGTACAGTGATATTACTTATTTTACTTTGTTTAATTGTTCTTTTGTTTGTATTTTTCTTTTGGGACATTTTATCACCAGCTGCCATAAGTCATGGTTTAGGATATATTAGGACATGATAGCTAAGTCATGTACTCATGTTAAGTGTTGTTGGATATTGTTGAAAAGTTTTATTGCATATGAACAAGGGGTGGGCTAGCCCCTGTGTTTCTTTATCCATCTTCTAGTTTTGAGACATGGCTTCATAGAACCGATAAATGATGGGAACGACTCAACATTTGATTATTTTATTGCATTGCATTGGTGATTTGACAATCAAAGATCGACAATTTGCAAAATAAGCCTTGTGTACGTAAATTTTGATCTTCTACTTGAAGGTCTTAGGTTTCTATCACAGGGACAATATTAGGAACCTAAGTGCATACTTTTTTAATATTTGGAATCTCAAAGTAGAAATATGCATCAAAAGCTATGAGGAATGGTGTTTTAAACGATATTTTCAGGATGCCTCAAGATGATGCAACAGTTCATTTTTATTTCAATCCTAAAATGTTTTTACGTGCATCATAATACTATTAGATATTGATTACATTACATTTACTGTTAATATCGCAAGGCATCTTAGACATTTGATTAGTAGTCACATTCACATATTCTTATTTAATAATGTGTTTCGTCTATTTCTGCATTCATTTTGCTATAGAGAGAGTTATATGTTGTAGTTTTCTACTACTTTTGAGTTATAACAATTGAACTGCAGTTTGATGTTAAAGGTTACCAATAAATCATACTATTTGGGAAATGAGTCTTTTAGATTTTCATTTCACTTTGCAATCTTACGTCTGTTTCCTTCTATAGAGAAAACTTGTCTTGTATCATATTAGTTTACGAAGTGTAATCTCGTGATCTCTTTTTTTCTGTGTCTCCAGCAATTCAATACTTAATTCTAGGATATTTGTGACATTTCTATCTTGTATAATGTATACACAATAATATAATTATCCCCAAAAGATGAATTATTTGTAGCTGACTTGTAAAACTACCCCTTGTTGTTTTATATCATTCATCTTCATCTTTGGTTGGTAGAAAAAAAGATATTATGGACTTGAATGATAGTCTTAAATGGAATGATTTTGTACTTGTATGAGTTTTTAAAGTACAATGTCTTAATACAAAAAAAATTGAAAGTATAATTCTATAATACAATGGATATTCCAAAGTACAATGTCTTAACAAGAGAAAAATGGAAAGTTCAATCGCATGAATCTAATAGACTTTGAGTTCCTCATAACCTGTGTAATGGTATGGAGTTCCATAACATGCAGGCAAAGATTAAGGCCTTAATTTATTTATATATTTATATTATTTGAGCTCTGTTTGCATAATTGATAGCTAAAATGAATTAGACAAAATGACAGCACAGTTGGACTCATATTAATTAAGGCTCAATCCAAAAAATAGCAATGCAGAATTATCTCTTTGTTTATTACAGCATCGTACTTGTACATCTTTATTACATCAATACACTTTCCATTTCTTCTTATTAAGACATTTTACTTTGAAATATTAAACCAAGTTATCATTGTACTTTCAGTTTCTTTCTTATTAGGACATTGTTCTCTGATAAATCTACTTAATTATAGCAGTAAAAGTTACTTTGAAACATATTCCCTTTTATATTCACCTTTCAGGAACTGTCATGAAACATATATTTTCATTTATGATTTATTTGTTTATTAGCATTGTATTTGTTTATCTTTCTTGTACTTTCCTTTTTTTTCATATTACTTTCAAAATTTTCTTATGTACTCTGAAAAAATTGTCATACTTGTATTTCTTTCAATTACAGCACTGTGGTTTCCATTTTTTTTTTCTTATTAAGACATTATACTTTGAAAAATCCACTCAATTATAGCATTATATTTTCAAGTATTTTTATTATCAGGATATTCTTGACAATTTATATGTAAAAAATGAGTGAAATAAACGAAAGTACACTGCTATTTCATGCATCTAACCGTTTGATTTGCACTTCCTTTCAGGAACTGATACGAATTGTGAAACAAACACTATGAACTTAAGATCAAAACTGGGTGCAACAGTTTTCAAAACCAATGGTCAAAGGGAGGACGAAGGAGAGTCAAAAGTCGAACCCTACGTAGGGCTAGAATTCGATACACCAGAAGCCGCACAAGAATTCTACAACACTTATGCGACTCAAACCGGATTCAAAATCAGAATCGGTCAACTCTACAGGTCAAGAGTCGATGGCTCAGTTATTTCTAGAAGATACGTCTGTTCAAAAGAAGGCTTCCAAACCACTTCAAGAACCGGTTGTCCCGCCTTCATCAGAGTCCAAAAGGGCGATTCTGGAAAATGGGTTTTAGCCAACATCAAAAAAGAACACAACCATGATATGGATGTCTCTGGTGATGGTGATGGCGGCGATGTCTCCGGTGGTGAAGTCCAGACGCCTGTCACACAAAAAAAAGCTCCCCCGCCTCCGAAACCGACCGCAACCCCGAGGAGCGGAATCCGGTCGGCCGACGGTGACGGTTCGTCGGGAATTCTTGATTTGAAACGACTCAAACGCGGGGAAATGGAACCGGAATCGGAATCACAACCGCTAGGTGACCCGTTTAAAGGTCTGGAATTCAATTCCGCTAACGAAGCGTACAAATTTTACAACAATTATGCCGCGAATCTCGGTTTCAAAGTCCGAATTGGTCAACTATTCCGGTCAAAAAACGACGGATCGATTACATCGAGACGATTTGTATGCTCAAAAGAAGGCCACCAACATCCTTCCCGAGTCGGATGTGGAGCCTTCATGAGAATCCAACATGACGATTCCGGTAGATGGGTGGTTGACCGGTTGTCAAAAGAACACAATCACGAACTCGACTCGCCCGAAACCACCACCCGCCGGAAAAACTCCAAGTCGTCTAAGGAGGAGTTAGCAGCCGGATTAGACAATTTGGATTTACTCGAAACAAACGGTGGTCTTAGTCTTGTGGAACGGGACCGGGGTAGCGGGATCGGGTCCCGCTGGTATAACGTTCTTCTTGAATATTTTCAATCCCGCCAAGTGGAAGATACCGGATTCTTCTACGCGTTAGAAGTCGATAACAGCCGTCTGATGTCTGTGTTTTGGGCAGATGGACGGTCCAGATTTTCTTGTACACAATTCGGTGACGCGGTGGTTTTCGACACGTCATACCGGAGTGGAAGCTACTCTGTTCCATTCGCGTCATTTTATGGCATCAACCACCACCGGCAACCGGTGCTCCTAGCCTGTGCTTTAATCTCCGATGAGTCCGAAGACTCGTTCACATGGGTCTTCAAGACGTGGGTCCGGGCAATGTCCGGCCGCCGCCCAGTCTCCATCATCGCTGACCAAGATAAACCGATCCAAAACGCCATCTCAACAGTTTTTCCGGCAACCCACCACCGGTTCTCCACCTGGCAAATCCTCCAGAAAGAACGTGAAAACCTAGGGGCGTTATGGTCAATCGACGAGTTTAAATTCGAATACGAAGCTTGCATTTCACAAACGCACACCGCTTCTGAATTCGATTCCGCGTGGAACCTTCTTACCACAAAGTACAATCTTAAAGACAACGCGTGGCTAAAAGAAATGTACATCACGCGGAAAAGCTGGGTCCCGCTTTACTTAAAGTCGACTTTCTTTGCGGGAATTCCGGTCAACGGGTCAACAAAACCCTACTTTGATCCGTTTTTGACCCCGCAAGTCCCGCTAAACGAGTTTTTAATCCGGTATGAAAAAGCAATCGAACATCATCGGGAAGAGGAACGAAAAGAGGATTTTAGTTCGTTTAATTCACAAATTGTTCTGCACACAAAAGATCCTCTAGAAGAACAATGTCGACGGTTGTACACGATAACTGTTTTTAAAGTCTTCCAGAAGGAGCTTCTAGAAAGTTACACTTACGTTGGGATAAAAATCAACATCGAGGGAGCCATCAGCCGTTATCTGGTCCAAAGATGTGGGAATGGTGACGAGAGAAACACGGTTGCGTTTAACGGCTCTAACCTTAACATCACTTGCAGTTGTCGGATGTTTGAATTTGAAGGGGTTTTATGTCGGCATGCTTTGAAGGTTTTTCAGATTATGAATATAAGGGAAATCCCGTCTAGATACATTTTGCATAGGTGGACGAAAAACGCGAAATATGGGATTTTAAGGGATGTGGATTCCGGGGGTGGAGGACAGGATTTTAAGGCGTTGATGGTGTGGAGTTTGAGGGAAGAGGCGCATAGTTATATTGATGCAGGGGCGGCTTCTATTGAAAGATATAAGCTTGCGTTTGAGATTTTGCAGGAAGGCCGAAGGAATTTGTGTTGGCAGAATTGATCAGGAATGTCTTTTCTACTTTTACTTTTGGTATTTTTGGATTTTTAAACTTGGTTTAGGGTTTAAGATTGTTAATGTTATGTATGGTGGTGGGTTTTTTATTTGCTAAGTAGGATGATCGAAAACCATGTCATCCTTTTGTGATTTGCACTTTGGATTTTCTGCATCTTAAGTGGCGACTGTTAACCTGTGACCTTTTAGTTTGATGTGTTGTTGCTTTTTTTTTTGATGGATTAAATATGGACATTATTTTATTATTTTGGTAAAGTATATATGAGTTTTCTCTTTTTTTTTTTAATGTTGCAAGAACATGATATAGAATATTAGAGAAGGGAGGTGATAATTCCAAGGATTGTAATCGATACTTCCACGGATTTTACGGATTTTAAAGCAAAATGACAATTGTGCCCCTTTGTAATTAATTAATCGTTAAACCTCATTCAGATTCTTTAAACATCTTTAAACATCCAACTATTCAATTCTTTTGCCCTCCTCCTCATCTTCCATAACCACGCTAACCACCTGCTATATCCTCTTTCTCGATATCTCCACCACCACCACCACCACCGTCTCTCCTTCTTTCTCCGCCACCAGCAACTTCACTGCCACCCCTATCTCATTGCTTGATACCGTCACATTCATCCTCTGCTTCATATATAGCGGTCACCCAATCATCGGAACACCGTGTTTAATACTCAGTTGTAAACCTAAAGCCAACTCAGACCTGAATCTTTGGTTCGCATAACTTATTTCGCTTTGGCATACCCATCAGAAGCCGATTTAATCCGTTGGTGAGTGGTGCTATAGGAATTGGGATAAATGTGGGAATGTCGCTGAAGAATTTATTTCCTTCTTCACTTGCAAAATGAATTCCTTCTGGTTAATTATGCAGGGTGGTTTTCCCTTTAAGAGCAGATTAAGGTGAAAGTGATGACGGCGGGGGACGGGATTCTTGTGGAGTGTATTCCTGGAAACCTCGTTTCTCTTTTGGTATAATGGTTTTACTAAATTTACTAAAAATATGTTTGTGAATAATCAATTAAAATTTAAATAGAACCAGGGACATAATTGTCATTTTCTTTGAAAAATCAGTGGATGTATCAATAACATCCGTGAAATTATCAGCTCCCATTAGAGAAATGAAGATTTCCATGTTAAATTAAAACTTTCGTATAAATTTTTAGTAAAATTTATTTTTTTTGCTGTTACATTTCCTATATATTTTTTGATCCTTTATTTGGACATCTCACTTTATTGGACAATACACTTGATAGGAAAAAAAGGGGAGCTGATTTGTACACAACAATTTTTCTCCATACACAACAATTGATGCTTTAAAATGTTGTATTGTACAACTCTATAATGCATAAATTGTTGTGTATGACAAAAAACTGTTGTGTTTCCGAAAAAAAGGAAAAAGTACCTAAGTCATTAACAACAATTTTATTATTATTATTTTTTTATTTTTATTTTTTTTGGTGTGCTTAACAAATATCCACGATTTTTTTTGTATAGTTTTTCTTATAGTTGTGTGAAAAAATTAATAAAATAATATTTTTGTATTAATAAACTCAAATAAATTCGTATTACAAATTTACATGGTAGAAAAACAACAAAATACATTTTTCGGATTATATCCAAAAACTACTTATAGAACACCACATTTGTAAGTTACACAAAACATTATAAACTCGTTGGACCCTGTCTAACTTGTGGGTGCGGAGAATAACGAACACATGCCTATGTTAAGGTGAAAGAAGAAATGTTTTATGCTTGAAATGGTTTTGTTTACGAAATGAATCGTTGGGGCTTATTAGTAACTAGAAAATAGAAATTGCCTCTTTCCCGTTTCGTGGGATGCAAGTCAGGAGTTTACTTACGTCTGTTTTGCGGGGCGTGATCTCTAAAATTTCTATTAAGAACAGACCATTTTTCTAATTCTTTTAAATACATGATCATTTGCTATAAAAAAACTTCTACATGAAGATCTTTTCTGTAAATTACAAGGATATTTTTGTAATTTATTTTCTATACAGGGACTAAACTTGCCAACATATGAAAGTCTTGTGACCAAAGTCTCAAACCCAAAGAGAATACTATTTAAACACATGGACAACTTCTATAAAAAAATACACATGTACCTTTCTATAAATTATAACGACAACTTTTGTAATGTATTTTCTACACAGAGACAAAACCTGTCAATATGAAAATATTGTAACCCAAAATCTAAAACCCAAACGTAAAAAAATAGATAGGGACATTTTCTGTAAATTATAGGGACAACTTTCGTAATTTATTTTCTACATAGGGACCAAACCTACCAACATACCAAACTATTGTGACAAAAGACTAAAAATCAAAACTATTATGGTAAAATTCTAAAACGCAAACTATACTATTCATACACGGTCAACCAACCTTTTATTATATAAAGTAAATTATATGAATGATCCATGTGGTTTGGGATAATCTGTACGGTTGGTCCCTAATTTTTTTTTTAAACTCGGACCGTCCTTAAGATGCGCTTTTGTTGTGCAGTTGGTTCCTGCCCGACCTAAAAAAAGACTATTTTACCCTCATTTGTTTTTTATAATTCAAATCAATTTACATAATTATACTTATTAATAATAAAAAAACAAAGTCCCAATATAACTTTTTTTATCTCCTCAACTCTGATGTATACAATCTAACCCCTTTATTAATTTCACTAAAACCGTCTCCCAGAGCTTCCACAAGAGCCGGTGATGTCGCCGACATTTGTTACTCGTCATCTATTTTTGTCAAAACTAACACCACCGTTGTAATCAACCTTTACAATTCACGCCTCCTTGAACCACGTTCGCCCATCGATGCCTTTTCGGTGAAAATGTCAGGTAGTGACCAAACGCGTAACAAAATTACATCTTAGGGACTGTCCGAATTAAAAAAAATTATGGACCAAACACACAGATTACCCAAACCACAGGGACCATTCTCACAATTTACTTAATTATATATAATAATTAGGGTAAATTACTCCAATCGTTCCTTGTGCAGGTGCCAAAATGCACGTTCAGTCTTTATTTTCAAAAATCAACTCAGACCGTCCATCGTTTGCTTAAAACTTGTACACTTCGTCCGTCATATGCGTTTTTGTTGCGAATGTAGTCCGCACCACATTTGAAATGACTATAATATGGATATTTATTTTTTAATTAATCTAATATTAGTTATTATTATTATTTGTAACTTAAAAAAAAAAGAATAAAAAACAACTCTCTCTAATCTCTATCTCTCTCAGGACACTACCACCACCATTTCTGATGTCTCTATTTCTCGTCATTTTTCTTCAACACCTGCTCCTAGTTTCCCCAAACCATTTACCCCTTTCACTTTCAAATCCTCACACTATTGTTACCGATCAGAGACAACATAGTAACCCAAAAACACACATGCACATGTGTGTGTTTTGATGTGATATCGAGATAAAGGGAAAGTGAGATGGAGATGTAGCAAGATATAGAGAAAGAAATAGGTTAATGGAGACAAAATCGATGAAAGGGAAAAAGGACACCAGAGGAAACAGTTGAAGGTTTCTTCTCTGCCTTTTGTCCTTCCCAACTGTTTCACTGAGTGACTTATCTTCCTTCCCTCGTTCCCTCCTTCTTCGTCCTTCTTAAATCCAAAAATTGAAACTAATTCAGGTTTTGATTTTGATTTTGAGTTTTAGGTCAGATTAGGTTTGATTTTATTTCGATGGATTCGTCTTGGACTTGATTTCGATCAGTTCCTTGTTGCGACTTTGAAGATGAAGATAAGTTGAGACTTCAATTGCAGTGAGATCTCATGAACTCATGATTTCGATTGCTTTTGGGTGTCATTTATGTTGATCGAATCTCATTGGTATTTGAAGGTTTCGAAGATTGAATTGTTGTTTCGATGGTGATGATGGTTTGGGGGTTTGATTTTGGTTCACCGATTTGAGGTTTTGGATGGTAGTTGGGAATAGGTGAGAAGAGGGAGACGAAGGTAGAAGAAAACTTAGGAAATGGAAGGGGATGGTGTTTGCGGTGATAAGTGGTGGTTTCGGAGGTGCTGACAATGATATGTGGTGGTGCCAGAGGAGCTAGTGGTGATAGGTGGTAGCGCTGTCGAATCTTGTTGCAGATGGGGAAATGGAAGGGGGAGGGAGATCGGTGGGGATATTTGTTTTTTTCTAATTTAAACCGGTAAAGAAATAAAAAAATGAAAAAATGAATTATTAAAGACAAGATAGTCATTTCATGTCAATAGGGATGAAGAGTGCAAGTAAAAACAAAAATATAGACGGTCCGAGTTAATTTTTGAAAATATAGATTAAATATACGTTTTGACATATGCACCGGAGACGATTGATATAATTTACCCTAATAATTACCACATAAAAGGCTAAAAACAACAAATGATACGATAATATAAACACCTTCGTATCACAATGTTTAATTCAATATATTTTCTGGGTTATTTTTTCATTTTCTAAGTCCAAAATTGAACATTTATGGCAACACTATCCCAAACATACTTAAACATTAAAATTATGAGATTTCTTTACAAAAACTATTTTTGACCATCTGAGAACACATTTATATCTATACGTTCTTACAAACTGTTTGTTTTAAAAGACCGCAGACGTTAAAACTTTTGTGCGTCCTCTTCTTAAAAAAACATAGACCAAAATTTGCGGCAGAAAAACATTTATCGTAGACATCTTCTTAGCAATAAAAAGGGAAATATTTTCTAAATAAATCTTCTTAAATTTTAATAGTTTAAGCAACAACAAATACACGTTGATTACAGAAAAATTTTCCACGCAATTTCAAATACAATAACATATTGATCACATTCAAAAATAAAAATAAATTAAAAGATCCTTGTAAGACTTCCGGTTAATTAATTCACAAATTGTGTATAATATTTGGATTTTCCTAAAAAAATTTGATATAAACAATGAAGTTAATTTCGAATATACATAAAATACC